TTCTCACTTACTGTGAGTTGTCTTTTCATTTTTTTGATACTGTCATTTGAAGTGCCAAAATTAAAAAAAATTTTTTTGAGACAGAGTCTCACTATGTTACCCTTGGTAGAGTGCAGTGGGGTTGTAGATCATAGCAACCTTAAACTCTTGGGCTTAAGTGATCCTCTTCCCTCAGCCTCCCAAGAAGTTGGGACCACAGGTGCCTGCCACAATGCCCGGCTATTTTTGTTGTTGTTTTTGTTGTTGTTGTCATTATTGTTTAGTAGGCTGGTGCTGGGTTTGAACTCACCAGGCTGGGGTATGTGGCCAGTGCCCTAACCACTGAGCCACAGGCACTGAGCCCAAAATTTTAAATTTTGATGACCTTCAATTTATCTGTTTTTCTCCTTCCTTGATTTTGCTTTTGGTGTTTCAGTTAAGAAACCATCATCACATCCCAGGTCACAGTGCTTCCTCCCTGTGTTTTATTCTAGGAATTTTATGATTTTTAGGTCTTTGACCCATCTTGAGTTAATTCCATATAAAATGTGAGGTGGGGGATCTAAATTAATTTTGTCACATTTGAGTATCCAGTTATTCCAGAATCATTTGTTCACTTAAAAATTTTTCTCTACCTAACAGATGCAAATATTGTAACCTAGATGTTTGTACTCTCACATTAACCTGAAATTTGAAAAAACATATTAAATTTTTTTTCTTGCTTTATTTTCCTATTTCTTTTAATGGGATTATCAAAGACAGTCAGTAGTCAACAAATACGTATCTAAGAAACTGTTATAACCATTTTTCGAAGAGACTACTCTTTTTCCTATTGGCATCCTTGTCAAAAACCAGTTGACCATATATAAGGGTTTAGTTTTAGACTCTCTATTTTATTGATTGACATGTTTGTCATTATGCTAATACCACACTGATTTGATTACTATTGTTGGAACTATTGCAATCAGGAGGTCTGAGTCCTCTAACTTAGATTTTATTTGTCATGCTTTTTGGGGGTTATTCTGTATCCCTTGCAATTCCATATGAATTTTAAAATTAGCTTTTTCCATTTCTGCAGATAAGCCCATTGAGATTTTAATTGAATCTGTAGATTATTGTGAGTGGTATTGTCATCTCAACAATATATACATAGATTTTTTTATTAAATCATCGCTGTGTACATTAATGTAGTCATGGGGTACAATGTGCTGGTTTTATATACAATTTGAAATATTTTCATCAAACTGGTTAACATAGCTTTCATGGTATTTTCTTAGTTATTGTTTAAGACATTTATATTCTACATTTAGTAAGTTTCACATGTACCTTTGTAAGATGCACTATAGGTGTGGTCCCACCAATTATCCTCCCTCTTCCCATCCTAACCCCTCCCCTCCCTCCCTTTCCCCTTTCCCCTTTCCCCATATTCTTGGGCTATAATTTAATATGAAAGCTATAAATTAGTTTCATAGTAGGGCTGAGTACATTGGATACTTTTTCTTCCATTCTTGAGATACTTTGCTAAGAAGAATATGTTTGAACTTCATCCATGTAAACATGAAGGAGGTAAAGTCTCCATCTTTCTTTAAGGCTGCATAATATTCCATGAGGTACGTATACCACAATTTATTGATCCATTCATGGGTTAATGGGCACTTGGGATTCTTCCATGACTTAGCAATTATGAATTGGTCTGCAATAAACATTCTGGTACATATATCTTCGTTATAATGTGATTTTTGGTCTTCCAGATATATACCTCATTGAGGAATTGAAGGATCGAATGGCAGGTCTATTTTTAGATCTCTAAGTGTTCTCCAAACATCTTTCCAAAAGGAACATATTAGTTTGCATTCCTACCAGCAAGGTAGAAGTGTTCCCTTTTTTCCACATCCACACCAACATCTCTGGTTTTGGGATTTTGTGATGTGGGCTAATCCTACTGGAGTTAGATGCTATCTCAAAGTAGTTTTGATTTGCATTTCTCTGATGATTAAGGATGATGAGCATTTTTTCATGTGTCTATAGGCTGTGCACCTGTCTTCTTCAGAGAGGTTTCTCTTCAAGTCCCACCACGAGATGGGATCACTTGTTCTTTTCTTGCTAATACGTTTGAGTTCTCTGTGGATTCTGGTTATTAAACCTTTGTAGGAGACATAACCTGCAAATATCTTCTCCCATTCTCAGGGCTGTCTTCTTGCTTTACTTACTGTGTTCTTGGCTGTGCAGAAGCTTTTTAGTTTGATCAGATTCCAGTAGCGTATTTTTGATGTTGCTTCAATTGCCCGGGGGGTCCTCCTCATAAAATATTTGCCCAGGCCAATTTCTTCAAGGAATTTTTTTCCCTGTACTTTCTTATAGTATTTTTATAGTTTCATGTCTTAAGTTTAAATCTTTAATCCAGTGAGTCTATCTTAGTTAATGGTGAGAGGTGTGGGTCCAGTTTCAGTCTTCTACAGGTCACCAGCCAGTTTACCCAGCACCATTTGTTCAGTAGGGAATTTTTTCCCCACTGAATGTTTGTAATTGGCTTGTCATAGATCAAATAACGGTAAGTAGCTGGGTTCATCTCTTAGTTCTTTATTCTGTTCCATACATCTACCTCTCTATTTTTATGTCAGTACCATGCTGTTTGGATCACATTTGATTTATAGTATAGTCTGAGGTCTGGTAGCATAATTCCTCCTGCTTTGTTTTTATTTCTGAGTAATGTCTTGGCTATTCAAGGTTTTTCTGATTCCATATAAAATGAAGTATTATATTTTTGAGATCTTTAAAGTATGACAGTGGAGCTTTAATGGGGATTGCATTAAAATTATATATTGCTTTGGGTAGTATGGCCATTTTAACAATATTGATTCTTCCCAACCATGAGCATGGTATGTTTTTCCATTTGTTAACATCTTCAACTGTTTCTTTTCATAGAATTTCATAGTTCTCTTTATAGAGATCTTTCACATCCTTTGTTAGGTAAACTCCCAAATAGTTCATCTCCTTTGGCACTACTGTGAACGGAATAGATTCCTTGACTGGTTTTTCAGCTTGACTATTGTTGTTATATATAAAGGCTACTGATTTGTGAGTGTTGATTTTGTAACCTAAGATGCTGCTGTATTCCTTGATCACTTCTAAGAGTTTAGTAGTAGAATCCCTGGTGTCTTCCAGATATACAATCATATCATCTGCAAAGAGTGAAAGTTTGATCTCTTCTGACCTTACATGAATACTCTTGATCACCTATTCTT